TGTAGGCGTCTAAAATTGTCTATGAGAGCCCGCACGAAACTCGAAGCAATGAATGGGTGAGCCAAGAAGATTCACCTAATCAGCTCGCGCGCGTCGCTCAGCGCACACACGCCATTCGACCCATATGCGTCAATCAACACGCGCGCGTCAAACCAGCTCGTGCGTGCTGGTCAACGCGCACACGTCGAATCATCTCATGCACGTCGGTCAGCGCACGCACGTCAAATCATCTCGGTCAAATGCGTGCACGTTAAACCAACTCGTGCGCGTCAGTCAACGCGCGCACGTTAACCAACTCATGCGCGTCAGTCAACACGCGCACGTTAACCAGCTCGTGTGTGCCGGTCAACGCGCGTACGTCAAATCATCTCGTACGCGTCAGTCAACGCGCACACGTCAACCAGCTCGTGCGCGCTGGTCAACGCGCGTACGTCAAATCCTCTCGTGCACGTCGGTCAGTGCGTGCACGTCAAACCAACTCGGGCGCGTCGGTCAACGCGCGCACGTCACCCAGCTCGTACGCGTCGGTCAACACGCACACACCAATCAGTCCGCGTGCATCGATCAACACGCGTATGTTAACCAATGCGCGTTCGACGGTCGGTCTCGCGGCGAAGCATACAAGTCAACAAAGCGAACCAAATACGTGAAAAGAACAAGTCTCGGAAAAAAGAGAACAGGAAAAGAAAAAGTCGGAAACCTGCGCGAGCGCAGGACAAAACAAACCGACCCGCGCAAGTGCGGGTCAGATCAGTCTGACCCACGCAAGCGCGTGCAAGTGCAGGTCGGGTGTGACCGACCCGCGCTTGTCGGATCTGTCCGACCCGCGCCGCGCAGTCCGGGACCCAAAACACGTTTTGATAGTTTTAAAGCTGTTTTCATAGGATTTATCTGTTCCAGGGGTTCCTAACTGACTTGATATCATCCCTAAACGTGATTAGGCTGTTGTTAACTGAAGATAGAGTCAAATCACTTGTTCTCATCCAAATAACCGCATCCGAGGCCTATAAATATGAACCCAAGGCCTCCATTTTCGAGGGCTGGAATTTTATCAAGAGGACGAGGTGCTGCTGGATTGAAGAGTGAAGGATCACGAAATTTCAGTGAAGGTCAATGAGATCCCGGCAAACTTTGGCGCAAAGGAGAAGCCGTTCGAAGGATCCGAAGCCCGTACGTCCGTTCCTTGAGATTAGGCTTGGTCTTAATCTCGAGAAGAGCCCTGATTTTGCTTTGTTGATCTCAGCGCTTCAAACCAGAAAACTTCCTCGGTGAAGACGAAGCTCTGCCGAATTTTTCTGCGACCAGATCTGATTCGCGGTCATCCACGGATTAGCCTCGGCACCGGCAAAGAACCCACGCAAGCAAGAGCCGTTAAACGGATCTTGTGTTTATTTTCAAGAAAGTTGTAATTTTTTATTTTTGTTATTCGAATTCATTTGAAAACGACTAAAGTTTAATGAAATCAATGATGAAGGCAGCTTTCCACGAAAACAAACTGGCGACCACAGTGGGAGCCGACGGCCTTTCTGCGAAGGCTGACGTGTCGCAACTTCGGATCCCGATCCCGATTGAAACGGAGGTCGAATATGAGTTCGACCAGTAGAAGTATGAGGAATACTTGTCCTCCTCCTCCAGATCGGTCTCTCCTCGTAGATGCAGGAAGGCCTACTCCAGGAAGACCCGTTGGACTTCAGCTGTAGAAGCCCAAGAAAAAGATCTTCCCGCCACCGCTGCACTCGTGGCTCACAACGCCCCACCGGCATCCGACGAGGCTAAAACTACAGATCTGAACCCCTTGAACAAGGGGTCGACTGTTGATGATGTGCATGTCAGAGACGACGCCAACGCCTCGCACGCCAACTGGCCAAAGCCTTGGAACCAGATGATGGAATCCGTTATGAGGCGGATCTGAAGTTCAGGAGGCGTCAACCACTACAACAGAGAGTGGACGACCCTTCCTCCCTCAAACCAGCGAAGAATGAATGGGTCCGTGTCAAAAGGACCCGATCGACTCTTCAAGAGAGGATTCAGAAACGTCACGCATTACTTGCACATGCAAGAATTCTCGTGCAGGAGGCCAAGAAATTGGAAGATAAAGGAGTGGAACATAAGCCACAAAGACTGCACCAAGTATGAAGGCCAAAGTCTAAGACGACGGCCAAAAAGATCGAAAAGCGCGGGTCACTCCAATCCGACCCGCCAAAACGCGGGTCACTCCAATCCGACCTGCCAAAACGCGGATCACTCCAATCCAACCCGCCGAAACGTGGGTCACTCAAATCTGACCGGCCAATTCGTGGGTTACTCAGATCCGACCTTCCAGTCTACGGGTCACCCAATCCCGACCCTCCAACTTTCAGGTCACCCAAGTCTGACCCGCAACAGATTCAAGGCAGAAGATGTCCTGCACCTATTTCTTCAATTCCATCGAGTTCCGCACCTCCGGTTGAGATTCGCGATAGTGTGGACTTGTCTAGTTTTAGAATAACAATGAAAGATCGCCTTGGCCCTTCACCCGATGATCGAGGCAAAGCTCCAGTCAAAGAGCGCTTAGGCCTATTGAATGAATCTCGAGCACGTTGTCGGGCTGGAGGTCATCCTCCTAAGCAGTGGAGGAGAATGGATAACAGGAAAAGTCCTACGAATGACCGCATT